AGTTACATATGTAGCTACGATCATCATTAGGTAACGTGAAAATCAAAATTCCGGTGATCAATGTCAGGGGAGTGTACCTATCCTTAACTAGGACAGAGAAATGCCCAGAACACTGATAGTATATGTAATTAATTACGCAAGAGAGTAATTTACTTACAGGTTTTGTTCTCTAACACTATAAAAAAATTCGATATAGGGAATTCGAAAAGGTAAAACCATTTAAAATTTAATACTTCAAAACTATCGATTTTATTATTCAAAATGATAAAACAATGAATATAAATAAAATCATTATGGTTAATTTAAATAGAAAATTCATAAGAGAATTACAGAGCCAAGGTAAACTGTTTAGCGTTTGAAGTTTTGGTTAATTGTGTACCTCCAAAGAAATACAGAAATACAGTAAAAACTGTTAAACGTTACCATGTATGATGAAACATAGTCCATAGACAAACAGCATTTCTTCTTATGAAGCTTACTAGATGAAATCATTTGTGAACAATGGTGAAAAACAAACTTGGTGAAAACGTCAAAGTAATTAAGAGCAAATACCAAATGGAAGGCAAAACCGATTAAATATGAAGCCTGGTCGAAAATTGAAACTCTGACGAAGGACAAAACTTGCAAGGAATGATGAGTTCCATCTCGTTGGAACATCTGCAATAATTCATAACTGATAGTCATTATTATGTAAATCCTAAAATTTATAATTTATATATGTTGCATGTTAGATTAAGATATTTGGAATTCTCGAGTTTCATATAATTTATTAAAAATTTTTAATATAAATGCCATATATTTATTTATTTCATATAATTACAAATTATTTAATATCGTTAATATTAAAATATTGTTTTACCTTTACCCTAATTTAGATTCTGCTCTAACTTTAATAAAATGCTGAATTCTATACTTACGATGTTTTCAGATCGATGTAGATTTTTTTAAATATCAGTTAATCTCTCCATTTGTTTAGGCATAGTAAAAAACAACACGAGCCTTTTGGCACGTGCTATGAGAGTTTCAACTTCCAATAATCTCTTCTCAATAGCACATTGTAAAGTGTGTGCTGTGCATGGAATCCGAACGATATCTGGCATGAACTTTATAGCTTTAACCATATTGCTATCATTGTCCATTGTGATAGTAAAAACCTTGTTTGTTAGTTCCCAGTCATCAATTATAAAATGCAATTCTTCTACGATTGCTTCGCCAGTGTACAGGTATGGTAAATATTTGATTGTAAGAACAATTGTATTCAATTGAAAATCATTATCAATAAATGAACAAATAACTCCAAAATACCCCATACGATTTTGTCCTGTCCACAGATCACAAGTCAAAGAACAAGTTATGATATTATTACTAAGTATTTCTTTAAGATTTTCTTTAGTACTTAAAAAAGCATCTGTAAGTAATTTTCGGCAGAGCCTTTCACTTGGCAACTGATAATTAGAGTCAAATTCTGCTAAAAATTCAATAAACTGGATCCTTCATGTATATTGATAGGCAATTGATCCCTAATCAGCATACTAATAAACTTTTGATCTCTCCTTACTTTTCACTTAGAATCATTTATAGCTATTTTTTGAAACTCATCATTAGATTGCTGTTGCTTAAGTTGTTGGTTGTGAGATTCCTCTATAATTCTATATCGTGATACCAAGTGGCCAATAAAATTACCTGTCGAAGTGTCTGTTGAACCCATTAAATGACCACAAGGTTGAAGTCCATTAATTCCATTAATTTTAAACAAACATCGGACTATTCGTTTATATGGTTGTATGAGTTTATATAGTTGATAATAATTCTATATCCAACTTTTTCTGGGTACCTTATTAATAGGCACAAGATTAAGATCTTTAAGGTTGGGTTTAGAAGGATGATTCGTACTAGAACTAATTTCAGAAATACTTTTAGTTACATAATCACTTTCATGCCTATTAGCCACATATTCATTATTATTGTTAGTTGCATAATTATTATTGTGTTCATTGGTTGCACAATTATTATTATGTTTATTAGTATTTTCATCATTTAATGTTCCTGATAATGAAGTTGTACTAATCATGCTTTCGTTAAAAGTTTTTTTCTTTTTGTTTTTTGCTGTGATTATAGACAAATTGTTGCGTTTTTTTGATCATTTTGTAAAGAAATTATCACCATCAACATTTTCATCTGAATGAGGTTCAGTATCACTTAAACAAGTAGAGCTATATACATTATTTTGTTCTATACAGTAATGTTATACTATATAATTCTTGTGTGAAGTAGGTAATTCTAGTGATAAAAGCTTTAGAAAATCTAAATATAAGTGTTTTGTTCTGATAATTATCTTTTTGCCCTTTTCAAACCCAAGTTAAAAGAAAAAATATTTAAATTTGTGATTCTATTTATTAAAATTATAGTTTGGTAGACTAATAATTAAATGTCATCATCATATAGTTAATTGAATATCATCATTATATAGTTTTGTAAAAAAAAATTAATCAATATGCATGTGATTCAAATTTAAGGTAACATCTTCTAACATAGTGAGTTCACGATATAGTCTAAATCTCAATTTATATTGCTGTATTGAAGATTCAGGCTAAATCGTAATATATGAAAATTCAGACTAAATCGTAATATTTCTTATTCAAATAAAAGTTCAAAACTAGTATTACTCCAAATCTGTTTTTTCTTTTTTTTTTTTGGAAAAATGATCTATTGGAGTTGCTCTGACATTACTTAAAACTATGGATTAAATGCTAAAATGTTTGTTATATAGCATATTATAAGGAGTGTGAGGTTCGAGAGTCAGTGGTAGTTGGACTTAATGAAAGAAAAATAATTGTAATGTGTTATTGCAATGTTACTTTCAATATCAGATTACATTTTTATACATTTCAATTAATATATTTCTGAAACCTACTAATTCATTATACCTCGTGTTAATACATTAATATACAAGCCACTTTATGTAAAAATCGCTATATAATAATATACTAAGAAATTTAATACTCAAAAAAAAAAAAAGAGACCAAAATCTGCAATATTTTTTTGCTTGAAAAAGTGGTACGTATTATAGTACGTAGTTATTCCAGCATTATTTAAGATTATGAATGAATGCTACTATGTTTCTTGCATAGCATCTTATAAAGAATATGAGGCTTGAAAGTCAGTAATGGTTACTAAATGAAGAAAAGTCATTGTATACGTATGTATGTACATACATGCTTTATCTTTGTTCAATATCTGCCTATATTTTTATACTTCTAATTAATATATTTGTGGAACCTATTAACTTAAACCAGAGGCATTATGTCTCATGTTTATACATTAATATGCATGCCACTTTACATAAAAATTGCTATATAATAATATACTAAGGAATTTGATATTCAAAAAAAAGATCTTGTAGCAATTTTTGTTTTATCTCATTTACAAAAATATCATTTGAAATAAATTATTGCATATCGTTATGCTTTGCTAAAACCTGCTATTAATAATTATTATGTAATTTTTCTAAAAAAAGCAAACGATCATTATGAATATAGATTTCCATTAATGCTATGGGTTACTTAATACCCGGTTACCTGCAGGTACCCAAGGATATCTGCAGATATTCACAGATATCTGCAGATACCCGTAGATACCTGTAAGGTTACCTTTTTGAAAATGGTTTTTATCTGTGAAACAATTATAGTATCCGGATATGTAGTCAACTGTAGGGATATCCAGATAAGCAGTTAACGGGTCCAATCTCTAACATTTCCAAGCTAGAGTTAATACTTCAATCCGGATATATTTATATCCGGATTGATATTTTATCATAAATTTATAGTAAAATATAGTAATTTAAATCCGGATTTATTTTATATCTGGATCTATCTGGATATAAAACATAGTGAGGTGTTAACTCTACTCCAAGCTACTATATATAATTAGGATTGTAAGAGTTATAATTTACATACTTATCTTATATATAAGTTATATATAAGTTACATTTTAAATTTATTTTTATTTTTTT